CGCATCTATCCAGAGGCTGTCACCGTAACAAGAGTTTTTTCTGCCTCTTTGAGCCAAATAACACGATTGACTCTTACTTTTATAACACATCAATAGCTGAACGTGCAGAACTTCTTTAGTGGCATTATGTCTCGAGTACGAGATAAAGCCAAGTGCAGCCCTATTTGCTTTTACAATTAATATTTCCTAATAGCTTGACGTTTTTCAATTTATCATCCGCTATACAAAACTCAGAATCTTATTAGTTTTGAACTATACAGTTCCCTATATAGTTTGAACTATGTTTTCAAACTAATGTATGCTGTTACACGTTATTCTGGTTCATCCTGCTATTAGCTTGAAAGACCTGAGAAAAAAAAAAGTACAACGTAGGAACCTGATCCAATCATCAATTTTCAAACTAACAGATTTTGTACTTCTTACTTCTTTCGTTATCTATATTACTCACTTTATTATTTTTATTACTTTAACCCTGTGCCAATTTTCATTTTCGGAATGTTTAAAGTTGAGCTATGATTTCGTAAAATCTGCTATTGTATAGCGTGTACACGTTGTATAGGGGTCGCTGTTAACAATTTACTGTAAGACTAAATTACTCGGATGAAGTTGCATCAGTGTTAGACTTCCTCTCAGTCTGCTAATGCAGTGTTTTGTGTTGGTGTAATCTTACACAGACCAAAAATAAAAGAAAACAGGCAGTGTAGACGTATGAGTCTGTTTTCAGGGAAACGTTAATCACCCAGCAATGTATTATACCCATACCATGTTTTATTTTGGTCAGTGAATTTTATTACTTTTACTTTTTTCTCCGGCCTTCTTTTTTGTTCTGTAATACTAGTAGGCTTAGCTGTTGAAAATAAGAGTAAGACATTATCGATTTTAATAAAATCAAGGAAAAAAATCGTGTTATTTTGAGGGGGAGAGGAACTCAATTATTTAATGTAACGCATTCGTGTTGAATATTGTCATTTTATGGGTTCTAGTTATGCATTTGTATAAATATTTTCAAATAGGCAGATTAGAATAAAAAGACACAGGCAGTTATATAGACCAGTAGTTTAAGTTTCTGACAAAGCCCGGACTACTTTAATAGTAAAACGGTTAGAGATAACGAAATATTTAGAGGGGCACTTTATCGAGCTTTTAACCGGATTGGTATCGAACCGTAGGTGATGTCGTATTGGGATCGGTTCTCATAAAATTCATTAAATTTCTAAACATGATTTATGGTTGACCAAAATGTTAAGGGGATAAAGAGTACAAGCGTAACTTACAAATAAATAATAAAAAACAACTTAAGCAAAGACAGTAAGGTGCTGGAGAAACCGTGAACATTATTCGCCTGTAGAGCTCTCAACAGCGTTTAAACTACTTGTTGGACAGCAGTTTTGTCTATCTTTCAATGAAATACGAGATCACAGATAAAGATTTATTACTAGAATATGATAGATGGCATACCTGGATTGACCACTAGAATATGATAGATGGCATGCCTGGATTTATCACTAGAATATGATAGATGGCATACCTGGATTGACCACTAGAATATGATAGATGGCATACCTGGATTTATCACTAGAATATGATAGATGGCATACCTGGATTGACCACTAGAATATGATAGATGGCATGCCTGGATTTATCACTAGAATATGATAGATGGCATACCTGGATTGACCACTAGAATAGCCATCTATCATATTCTAGTGGTAAATCCAGGTATGCCATCTATCATATTCTAGTGATAAATCCAGGTATGCCATCTATCATCTTCTAGTGATAAATCCAGGTATGCCATCTATCAAAACCTGGATTTATCACTAGAAGATGATAGATGGCATACTTGGATTTATCACTAGAAGATGATAGATGGCATACCTGGATTTATTACTAGAAGATGTTAGGTGGAATACCTGGATTTATCACAAGAATATGATAGATGTCAATACAAAAACTGCTTCGTAACTCTGGAAAATTTCACCGCTAGTCTTCATGTCTTCATATTTATTAAAATTAGAAGCTTGATATGTATTTCAGCGTATTCAAAAACTTTATTTTCCAGAATGGAAATCAAACGTTACAAAATTAAAAGGGAAACTTAGTCTATCACTAGATTCATCTGTACAGATTTCAATAGATTAGACCACAACATACATTTTTGGTTTCTTCAAACGTTATTTAATGGTAATGCACAGATACAATTTATTATATAACTCTTCTGATTTCTGTTACTAACAAAATGATTTTGTTTAATTTAACACTCTTAATTTCCATTACAACATATTAATTTGTTTAGTGTAATGCTTTTAATTCACATTTTTTATTAACAAATAATTCTTGTTTATATTACAACATATTAGTTTGTCTAGTGTAATACTGTTAATTTACGTTATTTATTAACAGATAATTTTTATTTATATTACAACATATCAGTTTGTCTAGTGTAATGCTTTTAATTCACATTATTTATTAACAAATAATTCTTGTTTCTATTACAACATATTAGTTTGTCTAGTGTAATGCTTTACACTTACATTATTTATTAACAAATAATTCTTATTTCCAGTACAACATATTAGTTTGTCTAGTGTAATACTTTAATTTACGTTATTTATTAACAAATAATTCTTATTTCTATTACAACATATTAGTTTGTCTAGTGTAATGCTTTTAATTTACATTATTTATTTATTAACAAATAATTATTATTTTCATTACAAAAAAACACGTTTGTTTAATGCAATCCTTATATTTACATTACTAACAAATAATCTTCTCTGATATAATAATTTTTATTTCCATTACAAACAAATATGGTTGTCTAATGCAATGCTTTTAATTTACTAACAAATAATCTTGTCTGAGATAATAATGTTTATTTCCATTACAAATAAATAAGAATGTTTAATGTAATGTTTCTAATTTCAATTAAAGACAAACATTTTTTGAAACATCTCATTATAGCTAGGCTTTATTGTAAGTGGTTTTCTTTCATCATACAAATGCTAAGAAATATTTAAAATAGTTTTATTTCCATTTAAGCAACCATATATTCAATAGCACAATGCCTAAACGTTTACTTTTAAGGGCTAAGAGAGTTGCACAACTTGTTTTATGGTTTTGCAAAAAAAAAAAAATTAAAATAATACAAACTTTGTGGATGTAAATATTATTACCATAAAGCGATTTATATGCTTGAAATTCCTCACAACAGCCTTGCAAGATTATTTGAAATAGCATAATTTTTTACTAAAAAAAGGTTTCAAAACAAATACGGAAATGTACGACATTTTTAACAAGTACAGAATTTTGTCTTCATTAGTTTGTAGCTCTACAAATACACTTCCAATTGTTTGGAACAGAATTACGTATATCATTCCATCTTTGTTACTTGATCACAGAACGTAACGTCAAAGCCACATACTTTGCTATATGATAATGAAGAAACATATAGTTGCTAAAAACCTAAAAACTGTACTTATCATGCCATAACATCCTAGCATCAATTAAAAACAATCAGTTTCCGACGCGCAAATATGAACACGTTTAGCAAATTTAACCAATGAGAACACATGAAATAGATCAGCCAATCAAGGAAAATTCATTCAAAAACCCAGCCAATCAAGGGAAGTTCATTCAAAAGACCAGCCAATCAAGGAAAATTCATTCAAAAGCCCAGCCAATCAAGGGAAGTTCATTCAAAAGACCAACCAATCAAGGAAAGTTCATTAAACAAACATTCATTCAAAGGAAGTTCATTCAAAAGAACATCTAATCAAGGGAAGTTCATTCAAAAGACCAGTATTTTTTTGCAGGTATCAAGCACAAAACATGTTTTTCTTCACGTTTAAAACTTTACTGGCAAGTTTGGAACTGGAGAATAACCGTTTTAGGTGTGTTACTTGAGAATTTTATCTACGTTTACTGAAAAATTAAAACTTATATTCCTTTGGAAATTAAATTTTTTTAACAAACCTTCGGAAAAGAATCA